ACAGCTAGTTAAAAACTGTTAAAATTTCAGGATACTATCAAGTATGGAAAATAAAAACAGTCCCCAGAAACAGATAAAACCCATCTAAAAAGTCATTACAGTAGATACAAACAATAAGTAAAAACAACACAATAAAGTAAAACACTCAATGGGTCGTTGTGCACTAGAAAGCCTTATTAAACAAAAAGGTCTTGAGGCCTTTTTTGAAAAGCTCCACAGATTGTGTGGCCCTTATAAACTCTGGGAGAGAATTCCAAAATCGAGGGGCCACTGCCTTGAAGGACCTGTCTCCCATAGTGGAGAGTTTAGTCAGTGGTTGGTGCAGGTGGTGTGAAGAGGTGGTAGAGCGGAGGGTTCTTGTGGCAGTGTGTGGGATGAGAAGTTCGCTCAGATAGGCAGGAGCAGTCCCATGGATGCACTGGTGAGTAAGAAGGCCAATTTTGTACTGAACTCGATATTGGATGGGCAGCCAATGAAGTGATCTCAGAACTGGAGCGATATGATCGTATTTGCGTCTCCTCATCAGGACCCGGGCAGCTGAGTTCTGGATGTGCTGGAGCTATTGTATGCTCTTGCCGGGGGCCCCAACGAGGAGGGCATTGCAATAGTCCAACCTGGAGGAGATAAACACATGGACCAACTTCTCTGCATCTGGCTGGGAAAGAGAGGGACGGAGTTTAGCAATGCTTCTGAGGTGGAGATGTGACACGTATCAGGTGGATACAAAGGGTGCCACTAAAATTTAAGAGAGTAGATTTTAAAACCAAGGCAAGCAGCGCAACCACAAAAGCAAATTAAAAAAAAATAATTTATTCTAAAAGCTCAGATGATGATGCCCAAGATGACCCCCACAATAAAGTCTACTGGGCCCCCAGAGAACAAGGCAGTCCAGTCCGCCCCCGCATGGGCTTGCCAGGGGAAACCTCCACGACCCCGCCCTCCTGCGGTGAACGTCGTCCGCGGGGATCCACAGGCTGGACGGCCGGTGGATTCAATCCTCCTCCTCGGTCCCTGTGGCACACAAAACCCTCCAGCAGTCAAAGGCCCACAGCAATTCCCAACCACTGCCAGGCACTGCCCAAATACTTACTCGCAGGGGCAGAGTAACTCTGCCCGCCTGCCGTGTTGCGCTCCGTGCCTGGCCTTCCGGCCGCGGATCTTGCTCTCCGCTGCTGCTGCTGCCCGTGCCGCTGGTGAACCCCCTCCTCGGTCCAAGACCCCAACCGGACTCAGTGGCACCTGCACGCGCGCTGCACATGTGTGGAGGGAGGGACACCCACGCTCTTCCGCACTCGGCCGCCGTCCATCGTCCAGGACCGTACTCCGGGTGCTCCTCTGTTCCGGCGGGGGGGTTCAGGCACATGCGTCCTCAAGACGCCGTCCGGGGTGCGTCTCTGCCTCTAGCTGGCCCCGTCTGCCATCCTGGCTCTCTCTTCCTGCTTGCGGGGCTTGCGGCGTCTGTCTGGATCCGGCGAGTGTTTTTCCTTTCCCCTCACCGTCCTCCCGTCTCCACATTCGCTCGCCTCACTGCTGCTCAACCCTCTGCCCTGCCACTGTTCATTCTCTGCCAGTCCACACCCCGCTCTCAGGTGTGGGCAATTAGGGAGGATTAACACAGAATGGGCTGCAATGTTGAAGCAATCTTTTGAAACACCCGAACAGTTAAAAATCAACCTAAAAACACCACACCAAGTAAAAAAACATGCAATATAAAACATGACAACAGTACAACATTTCCACTCTGTGACAGAGCAAAGAGACCTTGCAGAGGTGGCGGATGTGGGTGTCAAATGTAAGATTTGAATCTAGTCTGATACCAAGATTTGTTACAGTAGAGGAAAGGGGAATGTCATGACCAAAAATGGAAATACTGCTAAGGGAGAGAGACCGTGTTTGATGTGGAGTGCCGATAATGATAGCTTCAGTTTTATTACTGTTTAGTTGAAGACAATTTGCGGCCATCCATGCCCTCATCTCCTCCAGGCAGACCTGAAGTACAGATGGAAGAGTTTTAGGTGTAGTGGAGTCCATTTTCATGTATAACTGAGTGTCGTCTGCATAGCAGTGAAACAATATGTTGTATTTATGGAGAATTTGTCCAAGTGGAAGCATGTAGATGGAGAAAAGGGTTGGCCCAAGAACTGACCCCTGTGGTACTCCATAATTTACAGTGTGGGGGGATGACTGACATTGTCCTAAAGCTACAAATTCCATTCTGCCTGGAAGGTACTCCTGGAACCAATGTAGTGTAGTTCCCGAAAGGCCAACCACAGTCTGGAGTCGATTTAGTAAGATGGTCTGGTCCACAGTGTCAAACGCCGCTGACAGATCCAGTAGGAGGAGAAGAGATGGTGAGCCCTGATCCGCAGTTAGTAAGTAAGTAAAAGTTTATTTATATAGCGCCTTTCACAGATATAAATCACAAAGCGCTGTACAACATGATAAAGATCAGGGCAAATACCTCTAACCAATAAAAACATCAGAAAAACAATAGCAGTGATAAACGTAGAAAATTAAATCATGAGTATAAACAAAGTGAAGGTGTGAACCCGAACAAAGCCATCTTTTATACCAGTGGTTCCTAACCTGGGGGTCCCAACCCCCACAAGGGGGCGCCAAAGCCTCTCAGTGGGTCGCCAGGACCTCTCCACTTTAAGGGGTTAAAACTTCATTTATTACTTGTTTATAGCCTACATTGTGCTCACACTTTTTCATGAGTGAAAAGTTTACTGATATTAGGACAGGAAATAATTAGTACAGAAAAAGTAACACACTTTTAAGAACATTTTGCTCAGCTCACTGTTTTATTTTCAAGTGTCAAAAGTTCATTAACGATAGGACTGGTTGATTAATCACAGCCTTTACAGTAAATAATCTAGTATAAACAGTAATATACACATTTAAGTACATTTTGCTCAGTGTATTTTTTATGTGTCAAACGTTTATTGAAAGGAATGATTGATTTATCAGTGTTTACAAGAAACAATGTGTTCAGAGAAGTAATACAAACTGTCAAGCACATGATGCTCTGTTTGGTTTTGTTAATGACTTTGTTCTGTACTGGAGTCTACTATTACTGTTATCTATTGAATCAAAGCATATTAAAATGTGCTTGAACAATTTTATCATTTCTTAATCATGTTTGTACTGGAAGAGAGAATGGGAGGGGGTCGTCAGACATTTTACTGGTAAAAAACGGGGTCCCTTGGGAAAAAGGTTGGGAACCACTGTGCTAGAACATTTAGGGAGGGAACGCCTGGATGAAAAGGTGAGTTTTAAGATGATTTTTAAAGACCTCTACAGTGTTAGAGAGACGGAGATTTGAAGGTAGACTGTTCCAAAGTCTGGGTGCAATAGTCTGAAAGGCCCTGTCCCCTTTGGTTTTCAGTCTGGTTCGAGGAACAGCCAGGAGGTTTTCAGATGTGGATCTGAGGGTCCGAGAGGTGGTGTGTGGGGATAAAAGCTCAGATAGGTAGCTTGGAGCCTGGTTGTTAAGAGCTCTGTAGGTCAGGACTAAAACCTAAAAAGTTAGAAGTAAATCATTCATAACACGGACCAGGGCAGTTTCTGTGCTGTGGGCTGAACGGAAACCGGACTGGAATTTTTCATACAGATTATGAGTAATGAGATGATTGTGGAGTTGGTGTGCTACAGTTTTTCCAGTATTTTAGCTAAGAACGGTATGTTGGAGATGGGTCTGTAACGGGACAAGATAGCAGCGTTTAGAGAGGGCTTTTTCAGACGGGGACGGATTATTGCAGTTTTGAGGGCTGAGGGAACCTGACCTGAGTGTAATGACTGGTTTATAATTGTAGTGATTAATGGACTGACGACTGTAATATTTGATTTTAAAAGTTGTGTCGGGAGAGGGTCAAGGGGGCAGGTTGAGGTATTCATGCTTTTTATTGTTTTCTCCACCTCTGTCTGGGTGGCTGCTGAGAAATCAGAAAAGGTATTTATTGTATGTGGAAGGGTGGAGTCAAACGGATGCCGAACTGTTCGACTGATGGAGGATCGGACTGATGCCACCTTGTTGGTAAAAAAGTCCATGAACCTATTGCATTTATCTATGCTAGTGTCAGTATGTGGATTTGTAGGAGGGCTTAGCCGTGAATTTATGGTGTAGAATAGCTGCTTTGAGTTTCCAGCACTGTTTACGAATTTCTGTGAAAAATATTTTGACCTGGCGGCAGTGAGTGCTCTAGAGTATGTTCTTTGATGGTCCCGGTAGGCCAGTTTATGAACAAGCAACCCCTTGGAGGTAAACAGACACTCCAGGGCACGGCCATTTGTTTTCATTTTGTGTAGTTCTGTTGTATACCATATACCATTATAGCATAGGAAAACCATATGTGCCTTACCTGGGTGTGAAATTTCATAAAACTGCCTTATTCTGCCCAGCTGTGTGCATCAGGTCTGTTTCTTTTCTAAAATAATGAAAACTGGTGAAAAACTGGTCCAAATCATGATCAGCTTTGACTTAATTATTGATTAAATTATACAAATTGAATCTGATGATGAGAGATGTGCTCTAACTTGTTAACAGCCTTAAACTGTTAAAGTGAAAACATAGGAAAGCCTAATAATTAAGTAATAAGATAACCCCAATAGCAAGGCAACAGATATAAAGTAGTGATAAAATGCAACAAGATTTATTACAAGTTCACATTTGACGTTTTTCAGGTTCTTTTATGAAAGAAACTGAAACTAGTTTGTTGCGAAACAAGAAAGGATGTTTGTTATAGCGATGCGTTCACATTTTCTTCAAAAAACTCCTCAAAATCTGGCTGTAATCAATAATAAAACGCTTAGTGCGTGAAAACAGTAGCCAATCGTAGGAGAGCCCTTCCAGCCAATCAGAGGCGAGAATGGCGGGACCTTCCTTGGACACGCGCGCAGGACGCAGCGCGCGCAGGACGCGGAAGTGACTTTTGTTGTGGGCGGAAGCAGACCCGTGAGTTGTTTCTCTGCCCCTCCACGTCCGCTTCAGGTTGGTTGCTTTGTTGTTTTTCACCTCAGACGTGTTGTCTCCACCCGTCTGACTGCTGGTTGGACTTCCTGGACACAGCAGCCTGTCCTGCAAAGACTCTTATGTCCATATGTGTCCCCTGCAGCTGAGGGCGCTGGTTTTTGTGGCCTGGGTGGTGTTTTACATCACCTTCCTGCTGTCCTTCAGGAGGATGTGGAGCGGTAAGTACGTCCGCAGCCCCCTGGTCCGGTCCCTCTTCATGACCATGGTGAGCGACAGCGAGGAGGTTCCGGCGGCTGAGAAGCAGGAGGTAGGGAGGTCTTCCAAGTCCACTGAAGTGAGATGAAACTGCTGTGAAACCCTTAGATAAAATGTCCACAGTTAATGCCATGAAGCTTCATTAAAATCCCTCTTGTAGGTGATTTTAGAATATGGAAGAATGCCTTGCTCTTTTACCAGCTCTCCTCTTGACAAACTCCCATTTATATACATGTATTCTTTGTCTTTCATCTTATCCCACTTATATCCCCGTATTCTGTTATTTGCTGTTCATACTTCACTGTTTTTCTTATTTCTAACTGATAATTGACTACAAACCCCGGGATTGCAAACACGTTGGAGCCACTCTATAACATGTTATATTGCTTACATGTTCTGAAATGGCGTCGTCGTATCTAAATATGATCAATAAAGTATACAAAGAAAAGGTGGAATTGACCACTTCAGGTTGCCGTAGTGTACTCGTTGTCATTGGCCGTGCTCGAGATGGGCCAGTTCTGCACAGATTAGATTACCGATGATCGGTGTGCAGTGCATGCCGGGTAGATTTGTGTCCGACTTGACGCCGACTTGCTCTGATGTCATGCCTACGTAGGCAACGATAACCCCGTGAGATCAAGGCGGTTGCAGATGTTGGAGCCAGGCACTGCAGTTGCTCTCCACTGGTTGCTAAATCTGGCTCTCACCTGATCTAAGATCTGATTGGTTCCCATTCTGATCCGAACATCCGGTGGTAGAATGAGAAATGCTAGTTGGTCACATGTAGTCTGTAAATCATGTTACGTTGACGACGATTGACTACTACATAGGGAGCCTAAGTCTCCTCCCTTTCCGATCAGCTCATGGGTCCCCGGAAGAACGAAACAGCTATTTTCTAATCCGCTTTGCTTCACGCCCTGGATCACACATGTTTTACTGCAATTTAAATGACGTACTTTGAGATTTATCAGCTTGTAAACGTTCGTAATTAGCATGACTATACACCAGAAATCGGTACGTCGCATATGTGACGTCACCACATAAGCTCCTCCCCCCTAGCATAGCTGCTACTTACCACATGACCAGATTTATGGCGGTTCTTTCCTCCTGTGGGAAGTTTGCTGAACTTACAGCCATTTTCCCTGTTTTCTCCGTGTCCGGCTCAATGACGTCACTTTCGTGAAGCGCATTTGTAGTCCTGGGCTTATTTTCACACAAAACCTAAAGTAACGTTTCCCCCGTTCGAAAATAAATGCGTTCTTGGGATCAAAATGTGTCTTTAAAGTTCACGGACATTACGTGTGAAATCCATGGCACAAAACAAGCAGAATTAGAAAATAGCATTTTTAACCCCATTGACTTGCATTCATTTTTTCATTCTTCCGGGGACCCGTGGTCCAGAGGTAGGGGGCGTGGCTTAGGCTCCCTATTCCCAACACACCGTTTTTTTAATGTTTTGAATTTGTTTTATATTTGAAATTCAATAAAAAGATATTTATTGACTTATTTAATTTATATTGCACACAGTGAGTGTTCAGTTGTCTTTCACAATCAGTGTGCTGCTAAAACGTATATAAACATTGGCCTTAATAATCGGCCATCGGCAACAAAACTCTTTAAAAATCGGCATCGGCCTTACAAGAAACCCCACATTGGTCGGCCTCTAGTCTGTTATTTACATAGAGACAGGTTTGTGACTTTCCATTTCCTTGGCCAGTGGTACCGGTGCTGCTCTAACCTGCTTGGAGAATCAGCACGACACGTTTTCGTTCAGAGTCACCTGGACTCGGACACTGAGGCTTTTCTAAGGCGCAGCAAGGAGAAGTCCAGCTGGCTGTTCACACAGCTCTATCACTCCCTCGTGTCGACGGTCCTCAACCCTCTGGTGTCGCGTACCTCCATCAATGGGTGAGTATGGATCGGGTCTCAATTAATAGCTGCTGTTCCTCCTTGTTCTCCATGTTCTTCTCTTTGTCTCAGGTTTTTGGGTCGGGGATCAATGTTTGTGTTTTCCAAAGACCAGTTTCACCAGCTGCTCCGGATTGGACCCGACTGGAGAGCTGAAAGGCTTCTGGACCTTGGAGCTGGAGATGGGGGAGTCACAGAGGTGATGGGAGACCATTTCAGACAGGTCTATGCTACGGAGGTCTCTGTACCGATGAGATGGCATCTCCAGAGGAAGAGCTACATGTGAGTACACGATCCTACAGGAACAACCCGGTCCTTAGGCTTGGGCAGCATTACGGTGTTACCGTAACAGCCGTGTTAAAAAACAGCAACGATGTCAGTTCCTGTAGTCATGAACAAAAACCGGTGCATGTAGGAGACAAAGATAAAAACTACATGTTTAGTTTAAAATGTTGTCCACTTTTGAGAGTCCCATAAAGTTTATAAACGTGATGTCATCACACGGCAATGCTGAAACGGTGCGCCGAGAAAAAAATGGCAGCCTACACACCACCTGACTTGATGTCTAAAAGGAACACAACTTGGGCAGTTTGGGGGTGTTTCTGGTTCGAAGCACACTGAAAATGAGAGCCGGTAACAATGATGAGGTAACTGGGGCTGCATGGTGGCGCAGTGGTTAGCACTGTTGCCTCACAGCACGAAGGTTGCAGGTTCGAAACTCTGCGTGGAGTTGCGTGTTCTCCCCATGCATGCGTGGGTTTCCTCCAGGTACTCCGGTTCCCCCCACAGATCACAACACGCCCGATAGGTTATAAATTGTAAGTCGCTTTGAATAAAAGCATCTGCCTAATAAATAAACATAAATTGTGCAAACAAAAGATGACAGCGAAAGATGGACGCCCCGTCAGCACATCAGAGGAGCGAGCCATTGCTGAAATAGCAGTCTGGGGCCTGTTATAGACCTCTTTCACGGAGCGTCGCCATATTGGAGATACTTGAGGTAAACACTGTGATGGAGAACGGTCCAAAACCACAGAGAAAGCTCCTCAAAATACGGTATGGATGCAAAGGCATACAGGACAGGACTCGGTCCACAGTAAAGGGCACGATATTTAGAAAAGTTAAGGCTCAAAGACGAAGGTTTTATGGAATTTTTAAAAAAGGAGTGGGCTTAATATTTAGAACATAATGACCTGCCTGGAACATCAGCATCTGTTCTCTGGCAGGCAGGAAAGGCAGTGATGAGAGGTAAAATAATCTCTTTCTCATCACATAGGAAAAAAACTGGAAAACAAACGTATTCAGGAGTTAGAAGAAATCATCAAGTCTTTAGAGGCATCCAGAGAAGAAGAGTTAATGAGCAAATTACGTAAAGCTAAACTAGAACTTCATGGAATTATTGACAAAAAGACACAATTTTTAGCACAAAGACTACGAATAGAAAACTTTGAGCATAGTAATAAATCAGGTAAATTTTTAGCTAGCCAGTTAAAAATAAAGAGAAAACTACCATATCTGCTGTTAAAGGTGGACTATGGAACATGGAGACCAAAACGACATCTAGTGGTAGTAGGTTGTCGTTGCAACAACAGAGCTAGGGTTCCAGACGTCAGCGTGCCAGTTTTGCTGCCGATGCGTGACGTGACCAACCAGCACCATCATGTCTGGTGACGAATCGTACAGGGTAAGGACTCATTTCTACTAATACGTTTATTTTACTACAGTATTTAACTTGTATTATTCTTAGTCTTTCAATTATCCATTAGATGAATAACATTTCTGACATTGTTACTTTGGGTTGTTAGCGTTAGCCTGCTATCATTCACTTTTTTACTTAGCTAGCTTACGCTGCGTGTAGTTATGCATGCCTTCAACTGGAAGTCTTTATATTCTTTATTTTTTAATGACAAGATATCTGGCGCTCAGCTAAAATTGGATTTATTGTGTCTGTAGCGTGATGATGGCGACCGAAGCAGCAGCTTCCACAACAGTAGCAGCGAGGCACAAGGCACAAAGTTAGCTGTTAGGCTGTGTTCTAAAAATAATGAAGTAAAAGCAACTGTTTGTCTTTCTTTATTGTAAAATTGTTTTAGGGTTGACCCTCGACTACGTCACTGACCATATTTATACGTTTATTGTGCTAATATATAGTAATAATGCTTTCTTGGGTTTATAAAGAACTTTTCACACAATGATAAACTGTAATGAGGTCGTTGACACATGTTGTGTAACAGTTGGTGCAATGTAAAAAAAAAAGCACAGCATGAAATGTACATTTATATAAAATGTACATATTATTCTCGTCTTTTTGAAAGCAACCCACTATGGACGCCAGTATGGGAGAGCCAGAGGCCAGGCAACATGCAGCAAGAGGAAGAGGAGAAAGAGGCAGAGTTTCAGGGCAAGGTGCAAACACAGGTGACATTAGTAGACCTGCAGGAAGAAGAGGCACCGCTAGATCAGGAAGTACGTGTGTGAATGTTTTTTTTCACAGTGTAAATGATGCTTTTATTATTGTGTTGAACTGTGAGCATAACTGTAATAATCTTGAATCCATTCAGGACGGAGGATGCAGCCGAACGCAGAGGAGCAGAGAGTGTCTGCCATGTTGGAAGAGAGAAGGCTTGAGACAGACGTTAGTATAAAGCTATCAGTAAAAAATGTTAGTATAAAATGTATATTTTTGGAAATGTTTATACAAAAAATTATTACACCTCCATCATATTCTAAAGGTATTCAAATACTGTGCAGGAGTAGCGACAGCTTGACCAAGTAATGAAGTTGAATAGAAGTCATTTCTGTTCCATTTTGAAACTGAACTGAAGTCATGGTTTTGGAATAACTTTTTCCTGTGCAGTCTGCTCCACCAGGAACTTCTGCAGACACACACCCTCGAGGAGTACTGGGATCTAGGTAGGGAGCTTTTCGCCAGGGAGCCTGGGCTGGTATGTGATGCCTGGAGTGGTGCCCCTCCATCTGCTGACCTGCCTGGGATACCACCATGGTGCACATGTGGAAACTGCAGACATGCCCACTCTGCTTCAGAGGAAGTGTTGTAACCAGGAACCAAACCACCGTGTCCGCCCACTGCCACACTTTTCCTTTTTTTGTTTAGATGAAGGCAACCTGCCAATTTCCAGGCGATACCGGGAGGGCCTGATGGTGGTGAGGCCGACGAGAGAGCCAGGGGATGACGACCGGGAGTACCGCCATGCTGCCTACAGACGTTTCATTTTTTGGCAGCATGGTGCTCTCGGGCGTCATCCCCAGCTGCTGTGTGTGGGCGATCAGGGACAGGTATCCAGACCCCTACGGGCAGTATAAAGGTTTTGTCCCTGGTCGCTAAAAAGTTTGTAAATAGTTCTATTTAAATACATTTTATGTAAATAAGTTCTAAATAATAAGTGTCATGTGAAAAATAAGTTCAATGTAAATAATAACAAATACAGAGCTCTTATGTCTAGTCATTTTCTGTTTTTTGTGTTATTATGAGAGGAAATGACTAAATGTTAGTAACTTTTTTACCCAGCTCCAGTGTAGAACATCTCTATCATGGCGTCCTATCAGGCCTGGCTTTGGAACATTTACACAGATCAAGTTCTTCACAAATGACCAAGCAAATAATGTAAATAAATAATTCAGCCATTGTTTCCCAAAAATATTATATTTTTATTTGTACTCTGTGTGAGGCTAGGCCCGAGGTCCCAGTCTCTCTTTGAACCCAAAAGCCATGCAAGGTGAGCTGGGTCTGGTTGGAGGTCAAGGTGCTGCCGTGAGGCTGGGGCTGCTGCTGAAGAACAGTGGGGTAGGGAGGAGGAGAGAAAATATTTCTGTTCAAATAGCAGGACAGGAAAAACAGAATAATATTTCTAAATCTAGGTTTAAAACTTTTTTTGACGTACCAACACCTCGCTGGACTTGCATGCGAAGTAGTTCTTCTACTGGTAGTGGCGATACGGGAGGGAGAAGGCCGAGTCTCCTCGGGTCGTCTGGCCGTAGACTCCTGTGCTTAGGCAGCCCAGCATTTGCAGCCAGTCTCTTACAGAGATCACCTGAAGAGGTGGAATGTGGTCATATGTCTTTTGGACCTTCAGAGCGTAGATACTCCCATCTCCTGGCTTTTTTCTTGTAAAGCCTCATCGCCCTGTAATGTTCTGTCCTGTAATGTTCTGTCCTGTAATGTTCTGCCCTGTAATGTTCTGTCCTGTAATGTTCTGTCCTGTAATGTTCTGTCCTGTAATGTTCTGTCCTGTAATGTTCTGTCCTGTAATGTTCTGTCCTGTAATGTTCTGTCCTGTAATGTTCTGTCCTGTAATGTTCTGTCCTGTAATGTTCTGTCCTGTAATGTTCTGTCCTGTAATGTTCTGCCCTGTAATGTTCACAAAGACAAATACAATTAACCTTATGTCAGTCAGTGAAAAATCTGTCAGTAAGTAGATGACTTATGATGCAAGATTAGCCTAGTGCACGGTCTGGTGTCATAAACGAACATGGACCTGCCATCCACTGTGTGCCTTAAAGTGCGGCCAAGGTGATGGTTGTAGTTCAGAGCCGCGAGAAGTGTTCTGGCCTCATACACGGGTGGGAGGAGAACCGCTTGCCAGCATACATCAGGATGTGGTTTTGAAGAGCCTCCAGATCTGCAGTTGATTTGTGCAACAACAAGTGTGTGTGTGTAGAATAAGATTAGAGGAAATACTGACATTTTGTGTTATAACACACAACACTTCCAACATTAGCTGAAGGTGAGGTATTTATGAACGTTCCTCAACCACCGCTTGTTCAAAATCACATCCTTCAGAGCCTCATGAGCCACTGACCGATTTCCAACCACTCCTTGGTGGAGCTTATCTCGAGCTCCTCGTGTTGGCAAGGTCCCATCACCCTCTCATGCTCATTTGCCACATGGTGGATGAGACCAAGCCACAATTCCTGATGACAAGTATGAAACGAGAAGAAATTTAACGCACAGCTTTAGAGTTCAGTTGCGTTTAAAAATAAACGTTTCCTAAAACTATTTTGTGATTGTGTCCAGTAAGTACTGTGTTTACCATGAACTTATCAAATGTTGTTGCTTTTTTGCATGCCCACCTAAAACGATTGATTATATCACGTAACCAATTCAGCAATGCCAACTGTCCGGGATATGTGCTGCCTGGCGAGTAGAAGTAAGCAAATCCAGAAACTACTTATTAGTTCACTCAGAGTTTAATTTTTCACCAGTCGCTTCCTGTGATAAAATAATTACAGCAGATATGCTTTTGGCAAGATTTTTGGACCCA